GTTAGTGTCCAACAAATTCAACGTTTTGGGCGGATGCAAGGCTTTCGGTAAGAAAGATCTTCGGTATACGCCAATCATCGGCTGGACCTTCTTCTTCGGCGAATACATATTCCTGGAGAGGAATTGGGTAAAAGACTCCATGAATATCGGCTCCGGCATCGATCGCTTGATGGCTCACAAACACCCCGTTATTCTGATGATCGCTGCCGAAGGCACCAGATTTACGGCACAGAAGTACGAGACGAGTATGAAGTTTGCCGCCGATCGACAGCTCGGTGTCCACTATAATCATCATTTGTTGCCACGAGTCAAGGGTTTCGCCTATTCTGTCAAACACTTGAAACAAAATTGTAGGTTTTTTATTGCATTTAATTGTAGTGTAAATTTAATTTGTGTTGATTTTAACATGATGATTTTTGCACCCTTATCTCACTAATTAGACCCCGAGTGCGCTATATATTGTTTTCAGATGGCATTTGATGAGACCCGAGAGTCGATAAAGGTGTCCACTTTATTCAAAGGACAGCCAATGAATTGCTCAATACATCTGAAACGGGTTCCGTTGAGTACTGTTCCCACAGATACTGACGAACAGATCACTCAGTATTTGTACGATCTCTTCACCGAAAAGGTGCCCAAAAATTCATTTTATTAAATCATTTCAAGAATATTCTGCCAATAATTGTTAATTATAATTACTTTGGTTGTATTTGTGCAGGATCAATTAATGGACTACTATTATAAAAACAAGTCATTCCCAGGAATTAAAATAGCGACAAAACGCAGTGTTTTACCGTTGATACTGTTGTGGACCAGCATTTTAGTGGTGGGCAGTTCTCTCTTATATTTGTTGGTTAATGTCTTTATTTCAGGCAATCTTATGCTTATACTCATTACATCCTTATTAATAATCTCAGGTATGATTACCATAATGTAGTTTTTATATATAAAGTAGAAATGATTTATTCTTATTTGTTGACAGCATTTACCGGAATATATTTGACCATAAATTCTGCCCGAATATCAAAGGGTTCCACTTATGGCACTATTAATGGTAAGGAATCACACAATGTATTAACGACTGGAAAGTCAAATAAAAGAGATAACAATTTCAATGCAAGTCCTAAAGAAGATTAAGAAAAATTGTGCCAAATTTATCATGTTTTCAGAGTTTTGTTGTTTTTACAATTAAAAATACAAATTTTGCCATAATCTCAGTCAAAAACAGTGCAATTTTTATACGAATTTATGATGGATTTAATTAATTAAATTATAAATTCAAAAACGTTTTATGTTTTTTGGAGATTTATATAATATTTTCATTACTTAAATATATAATTATAATAAATATCCAATTTTTACAATTATTAATTTCATTGTGTGCTCTAATTATAACTTATATTTAATTATTCCCAATTCTTGCCCTTATTTTCTCATAGACTCGAGTACTTAAATATTCAGCGATCACTACTTAAGACAACATATTATGATAAAATTAATTATATATTTGTTTGCAAAAACACACAAACTGTTACATTAATCGTAAAATTGTGTTATTATTTTATAAATATTGAAATACGGAATTGGATTGTACGCCGGGGGCGACCGAGGCTTGGGTTGTACTAACGATTGCCAATTTAACAGTTGTAAGAGTTTTTGGCTTCGATACGCCCTTTTATATATTGACTTCCAGTCTTCGCCTTTAATTAAAATCATTATTACTTAAAAACTTTTTAGATTTAATTTAATTAATAGTTGATTATATCGTCAAATATACTGACCATTAAGTCCTCGACCATAAGAGGTTGGGAAGTGTTGTTTGACAAGACTTCTCCACAACTGGTCGTCAAGAGTGATGTCTCGCCATAGAGAGGACACCGAAGACATCTTCAATACCGACTTAATGGGTAATAACGACAATATCCTGAACTTTAACTCAAGCGGCAAATCATTGATCGAAATCGAAAGCAATTCACTTAATTTGACCACAAATTCATTCATTAGTATTCAATTGCAACCTTATGTGCAATGCATTCCTCAACGCTCTCCACAACCCTTTTTATTATGTAATCCTTCCTCTGATTTTGCACTAAATTGTATTTATTAATAATAATTACGTAACAATTGATTCAATTATATGCAAATACAGTAGTAATTGTTGATTACAGAATGTACAACCATTTGTTAACTAATTAATCAAAATATAAAGCTACTTGGTTTACATGTAATTTGATTGACTTGACTCAAGCGACAAGCGGCTAAAGTTTGCTTAAGCTTATGGGTACAATAACTACAATTACTTAATAAGTAATATGTAAATGACAAAGGACAATTTAATATTAAATGCTAAATTACAACTTCGCATTATCCATGAAAGTTCCTAGACGTATAACAAATAACCTCATGCTTTAAATTTAGTAAATCAAAAATTGTTTCAAGCTTGGTAAAACGAGAATGTCATTGACAATAAACATAATTAAGGTAGAACTATAATATTAATATTTGATTAAAATACAGTAACTAATAAATTAATTTAAAATAAAACATTTTATTATTAATTTCAATTTTATTAGCCAAAGAAAATTAATTAAAAAATATAACGAAAACATCATATGATTGGAAAACTAATTTCTTAATTACAAACAAACCATTCGTTTGAAACTTTAATTTCAAACCAATTTGTAATTAATAATAAACAGTTAAAAGAAAATATACAGTAATTACAAGTGAATGAATGAATACAAATATATTGTTGATTACAAATGTGAGGCCAGAATATTCTTATAGATTATTATTATTATAATAGCAAACATGCGATTAAACACAGTATTATAAACATTATGTATTACTTCATAAAGTCTGCATTTCAAGTGTCAAAAGCATTAATAGATTTGTTTTAATTATTAGAAAAATCTGATTTGTTATTCAATAGATATTTTAATGACTTTAATATTTATTGAGAATATTGTTTGTATCGAAAGACCCGAGGGTTAGACCAAAACGTTTACTAAAATATATCCCATAATTCAATATTCTGTACAAATAAACCGATTGAATACATGTCTAACACGTATTCAAGACCTCCCGTTACCCTCCATATGAAAACTACCGCTAACTCTCGTCTAGAAATATGTGGCAAATAATGGCATAAAAAAACACATCGTTTTACAAATATGTTTTAATTATTCTTAAAGCATTTGATCCAATAGTGTATAGATTTGTTGTGAGCGATTCAATAGACAAATACAATGTACTCTCGCTATTGTTAACAAATATATATCAAATCAAAAATCAAATCAAAATAATTCTCTCAACACTAATTGACACAATAAGGAAGCAAACGATATCACACATCAGTACTGGAATAATACAATAAGGTGTGAGAGAGAAGTAAAAATAATCTAGGTTATAATGTAATAATAATAGAGAACGTGGTAAAGTAGACGTATTGGGGACCATATGGTGAAGTCATTAACCATCAGACGAAAAATAAGAGAGAATTTGGAGGACATACATGAAAATGTTAATCATATCCAGATATAGTGTGAGCGCCGCAAATATGTACTCTTCGGACGACACCTGTAGCTTATGATTGCCGCCCATAATCATCTGTGTGTCCACTACCAGATACTGCGAATAAGCACATGTTAATCGAGACAAAACAATTATTAGCATGTTAGTCAATTAGTAAATGTTAAATGTATTATTATGGTTAAACAATTAGGGTTGGGACAGGGAACACACGGTTGGTTTGTGACCATCGGTCGTAAACATTCAACAAAATAAAATCAAGAATTTTCGTATAAAATACTTTCATTTAATTCAAAAATACTTGTAATGAGATTCACTGGATATCCGGTGCATACAAAACCAAACACACAATTATTATACTACTATTGATATGATATGATTGTCTCAACAATTCCTTCATTCAAACCACAAATGATTTATTTTAAAATGTGATAAATTTATGAAAAATATAAGTTTTCACAAGAGATGGATAAATAAATAAGAAAAAAACAATTTTGGATTAGATTTGGGTAAAATAACAAAATAAAATCAATCATCTCTTGTTTGACACATAAAAATAAAACAACAAAAAATTCTCTATCAAAACAATGAATACCAAAATTGACACAAAAATAATTATAAAATTTTGAAACAAAATATAATTCTTAAAAATTATTACTATTTTGATAATAATAATTAAACACTGACTGACTCTGGTATGTGTACAGAGTGTTTGTCCATTTGATGATAGCGCACACACATAGAGTTGAAAGCAAACTAAACAAAACCGGTGTCGCTGTAGAGTAGTATTGGTGGTGGTGTTGGAGGTGTTGGCGGCGGCTGTGATGGACACTAACCCCCGCCCTCTCAGTTGCGAGAGGCGGCCGAAACCAAATGCAATATATAGATAAAGAGCTGAACGATATCGATGTAAAGGGTTAGGGCTGCGAATATGTACTCTTCCTGCGAGATCTGTATGCTATGAGTGCCGCCGATCAACATCTGGGTGTCCACCACCAGGTACTGCATGTGTGCATCACATCAATAGCATAGGTATGTGTGTTACCCAACCGGTGGTCATATAAAGCCAAACAACACAAACACCACAATTGGTTGGGGAATAAAATGTAAAATTCAATCAATTAAATGATAAAAATCATACCTTAACTAAGTTACTAAATACTAAATTAAAACTATAATATAATTATAATTTATAAATAGGACCAAGACACCACAAGATTAAATGCAATCATAATTAAACAATTATGCTACAAATAGTATTATACGATACTATGGAAAGGCATTCATGAAAGGTATGGGGAAAGAGATATACCATTTATGAAAACACTTAAAAATAGCATAATTTAAATAATAATCAATCGTAATATTATTAACAATACAAACCACTGGCCGTATGGGTGACGGCCAGCGGTGATAGCCTATGGATAAAATACTAACCGCTGAGAAAAGTAGGGCTCCGAGCGCTGAGTAGACGAGTTGGNAATATTTATTGAGAATATTGTTTGTATCGAAAGACCCGAGGGTTAGACCAAAACGTTTACTAAAATATATCCCATAATTCAATATTCTGTACAAATAAACCGATTGAATACATGTCTAACACGTATTCAAGACCTCCCGTTCCCTCCATATGAAAACTACCGCTAACTCTGATCTAGAAATATGTGGCAAATAATGGCAGAAAAAACACACCATTTTACAAATATGTTTTAATTATTCTTAAAGCATTTGATCCAATAGTGTATAGATTTGTTGTGAGCGATTCAATAGACAAATACAATGTACTCTCGCTATTGGTAACAAATATTTAGTAAAAAACAAAAATCAAAGTAATTCTCTCGACACTAATTGACACAATAAGGAAGCAAATGATATCACACATCAGTACTGGAATAATACAATAAGGTGTGAGAGAGTAGTAAACATAATCTAGGTTATAATGTAATAATAATAATAGAGAACGTGGTAAAGTAGAGGTATTGGTGACCATACGGTGATGTTTAACCATCGGATGAAAAATACGAGAGAATTTGGAGGACATACATGAAAATGTTAATCATATCCAGATATAGTGTGAGCGCCGCAAATATGTACTCTTCGGACGACACCTGTAGCTTATGATTGCCGCCCATAATCATCTGTGTGTCCACTACCAGATACTATTCATAAGCACATGTTAATCAAGACAAAACAATTATTAGCATGTCAGTCAATTAGTAAATGTTAAATGTATTATTATGGTTAAACAATTAGGGATGGGATGAGGGCTGTGGACAGGGAACACACGGTTGGTTTGTGACCATCGGTCGTAAATGTTCAACAAAATAAAATCAATAATTTTCATATAAAATACTTTAATTCAAAAATACTTGTAATGAGATTCATTGGATACCGAATGCATACAAAACCAAACACACAATTATTATACTACTATTGATATGATATGATTGTCTCAACAAATCGTTCATTCAAACCACAAATGATTTATTTTAAAATGTGATAAATTTATGAAAAATATAAGTTTTCACAAGAGATGGATAAATAAATAAGAAGAAAAAACAATTTTCGATTAGATTTGAGTAAAATAACAAAATAAAATCAATCATCTCTTGTTTGACACATAAAAATAAAACAACAAAAAATTCTCTATCAAAACAATGAATACCAAAATTCACACAAAAATAATTATAAAATTTTGAAACAAAATATAATTCTTAAAAATTATTACTATTTTGATAATAATAATTAAACAATGACTGACTCTGGTATGTGTACAGAGTGTCTGTCCATTTGATGATAGCGCACACACATAGAGATGATGTGGTTTTGAAAGCAAACTAAACAAAACCGGTGTCGCTGTAGAGTAGTATTGGTGGTGGTGTTGGAGGTGTTGGCGGCGGCTGTGGTGGACACTAACCCCCGCCCTCTCAGTTGCGAGAGGCGGCCGAAACCAAATGCAATATATAGATAAAGAGCTGAACGATATCGATGTAAAGGGTTAGGGCTGCGAATATGTACTCTTCCTGCGAGATC